GGGGTTTTCATGGACCAAGTGCTGATTTGGAATAACCCAAGGGCATTTGTCAGCCCAGGTTTTTCCAGGATGAGTAGGGATGCAAATTCTCTTCTAATTAGCAAACAGTGCTGCTTCCTCACTTTCCTAACACTAAGAATGTGGCAGGTTCCTCAAAGCTGTGCTGTCCTTCACCCAGAATTTCCCCCTCTCAGAGCTGGTGAAGACTTACGCCTTCAGAAAGGATCAGGCCCATCTGCTTTTCCCAGAGCTTGTGCTTATTCCTTTGCAGATTTCTTCCTTAAAGACACCCTACAAGATCCATCTCTGGAGTATAATCAGCATGGAGAACTGAAGTAAGGTTTTCCAAATCCTCAGTGCCAAGGTTTCAGTGTGGTGGGTTTGCACCCTGGCTGCACTTGTTGCATTCGATGGGTTTTGGCAGCCCTGGGGTTGTGTGGGCTGAGAAAGGCAGATCTGCAACCACCTCTGATAGAAAGGCTGGGGCAGTTGGGTGAAGCCTTTCCCTTCCCTCTGCTATGCTGGCTTTCCCCTTGGGACCTTTGCCTGCAGACCCGGGAGGACTTCACAAAGAGGGGAAATGCTGTCCCCGGCTGCGGCCAGCTGCTTTCTTTGGGAAGTCACAGCTTCCTTCCGCCCATTTACAGCCCCTGTGCATCGCAGTGGCAGCGCGGCTCTGCCGGCTCCCTGGCATGCTCACAGCAAGCCTTCCTGGCCCTGCTGCCAGGGATGGCTCAGCTTCCCTCCAAGCTCAGGGAAGGTCATGGATGCTATCAGAACGTGGCCCCTTAGGATGTAAAGATTGTGTTTTCATTCCCTACCCTAAACCGCGAGGCATTACCCTGTTCCCTTCTCCAGCCCTGCGTTGTCATCTTGGATTCATCAGACACCTGATGGGGGTTTTGTTCTAGATATTTTGATTTCATTTCTCACTTTTCTCTGAAGGAACACATGTAGTGGGTGAAGTGAGCCTGCTGGCTCAGCCTGCAGCATCCCTTAAGGGTTTGGGGTCAGCAGAGCCCCCATAGGATGCAACAGGTTGGGCTTCTGCAGCTCTTACAGTGCTGGCTGGGCATACAGGGGGACTTTCCCCTGTGTTTTTTCTATGTGCACGTCAGAGATCACTTCTGCATCTCTGAGTAATGTGGATTTAATCATTTGATGCTACGCTGCATCTCTCATTCTTCCCACGTCCTCAGAACAACAGCCACCTCGGCGGTGCTTGCCCTCAGTCCCTCCTTGTTTCAGTAATTGATGCTTTGTGGGGAACCCAGGGGCTTTGCTTAATGTTCCTGCCGACTCTGGCTCAGGAATGACTTCCAGCAGTACTTGTGTCTATAACTGAGCTTTGTGACTTGGGTGAATTTAATAGGTTACTCTGGGACCTCCCACTATTGCTTTTTGTTTGTTTGTCTTAAATTGATTTTACAACGTTCTGCATATTTGGGCATCCAATATAGAACCTCTGTATTGTTCTCTGAGAGACCTGCCTGGAAGCCCACACGCTGTGAACAGCAGCAGTTCCCACAGCTGCCCAGAGCTCTCTGTTCACCATACCTGTGCAGGAGCAAGGAGAGCAGCAGGCACAAAGCAGGGCAAGGTGCTCCTAATGATTGTGTGCTGTCCCTGGAGGATGAGACTTCAGTGACATCTTGAGAGCTGATGCTCCTTGCTGGGAAGCACCTTGGCTTGCTTCTGCTCTTCCCAGTGACCAGTAATTGTTGTTTGCTAGAGGAGATGATTGCTATCCCTCAGGTGCTCTCCTAGGGTTAAAAAGGGCTTGTGGGTGGTGGTGAGGAGACAAGCTGTGGTGAGGTCAGTGCTTATCGGTGTTTCGGTCTCGTTAATCAGTCTTGCTAAGTGGAATTTGCCCAGTCTGCGAGGCTCTGAAATGGGGAGAAATAATAGCACTAAATTGTTCGAAAAATAATTTTGTTCTCCACTTCTCAGTAGATAAATCTGCTGTCCAACAACCTGAAATTTAATCTGTCCATCTAAAGTAATTGATGAGCTGCGACTTGAATCCAAATGTGAATGGGAGGAGAGATTTTCTGCAGAGATGCTTTTGTATCACTTCTGCAGCTGCTGCTTTCTGCTAGAGACAATGGGATGCAGCAGGGGAGCACCAGAGCTGCAGAAGGTGCAGGGCTGCTGTTTGGAGCGGGACATGAGCTTCCATTGTGCTTGTGGCTTTAATTACTGCTCCCAAAATTCACTGGTAAAGCCTTGATGTGGAGGAGAGCTAGACCAGGCAGAGATATTTGGAGAGATAAGGAAGTAAAGGTCATGGTTTAACGAGCGGTGGTCAATGCAGGGTTCTGGTAGCTCCAGCCCTGTGGATCCTGATGGGCACTTGGATGCTCTTAGACTTTCTCACTGCTCCTGACTTTGAAACAAGCAAAGGGAGTGTCAAGAGCTCTGTGCTTCAGCTGGCTGCAGGCCTGCTTGTGCAAGCACCTGCATGGCTCTTATCTGGGCTTCATCACTCTTGTTGCCCCTCCAAGTGTTAAAGCAGCACGCGGGGAACTCAGCATGACTCGAAGTCAGCCCTTTGTTTTCTTAAGAGGTTTAGACTGCTGCGTACCCGTTTCACCACTGATGATTACAAATTCCATATTTTCTCAATGAGAGCTTTTTTCCTTTCCCGTTTGTGACGGCCGTGATAAGCAGATGCTCACAGCTCCCCCATTGAGGGCTTTCTTTTCGCCTGGTGTGTTTGGGCTGTGTTGGAAGTCAGATAAGAGGAAATCTGACATCACAGTCAGGAAGTGCTAAAGAAAGTCGCTTTCGTCATTCATCATAGGTTATCTACAATGGTGAAGCTGCAGCATTCCTTGCATGCTGCAGGGCCCATTTAAAGCCCACGGCTTTGGACCAGGTTCAGCAGCGTGGCTCTGTGCCACCCAGAGTTATTGTACGTGGCTCCAGAGCACTAACCCAGCCCTGCAATCACTGCTTCCCAAAGAGACCAGCTCTGAAAAGCTGTGAGCCTTCCCATCATCCCACACCAACAAATCACCTGCCCCACTTTTTCCTTTCCCTAAAATTCTATCATTCGGTTTCTCTCGGGGATCCCAAGCCTTTCACTAGGTTTGTACCAGCCCGAATGTAGGAATTGGGGTCTGCTGATGAGCATCTTCCAAATCCCACCCTGGGCTGATTGGTTGCTGAGCAGACACTGCAGCATTCACAAGCTTCAACCCAGAAGCTGCTGAGGAACTTCTATGCGCAGGGCTGCTGTCATGCCATGATGTGATGCTGAGATTGCACTCGCTGAGTTTCTGCAGGGCTGGTGGCAGTTTGTTTACCTCTCTGCAATGCAGCGTGCTGAAAAATAAGCAAATCTGTTCTGAAACTTGGTGGTGCAGGTGCTGGGGGCCCTTTTGCAGCCAGCATGGCTCAGGGGCTGTGGTTGCTGCTCATTACCACCCCCAGCAGCGATTCAGGGCTTTTTGTTTCTCCAGACGTTTCTTGCTCCCATTGCTGGGCCTTTCCAGCGTGTCTTTAAACAGATGATGGGGCCCTTCCGTGATGCCTGTCATCCCTTCCTCGATGCTTGTCACTGTGTGAGCTCGGTGGCTGGCTGTGTGCAATCAGTGTCTTTCTCCTGCTAACTCAGCAGCCGGTGGCCTGATGGCTCCCAGGTTAGAATTGGGTGAGCAAAGACACTTGGACACACCAGCTGGAAAAAGTATTTGGTTCTGTCCTTCCTTAGCAGGCACAACCCAGGGTTGGGAGCCCTGCCATGGTGTGCTGGCATGCTGTTGGAAATGGTCAGGATGAGGCATTTCATTGCCTTGGGCATGCAGTCTCTGAGATCTCTCAGAAAGGAGGCAGTGTGAAGCTGGAGCTTTTCGTGGAATCAAAAATGCATTATGTGGAAGGTTCAGGATCTGGCATCCTCCACCTCCAGCTCAGCTGAATACCAATGCTGTACAAGTCAGTCTGAAGCGAGCCCTTCAGCCATCCCTTCTCCCCAAGCCCTGGGACCTGCAGGGGTGCTCTGCTGAGAAATGCCCCTTGCTGTGTGCAGTTGTGGCTGTAACCTGTGCCAGTCACGTTCAGAACTGGAGGCTGAAAAGGATTTAAAATAAACATGTGCTTTGAAATCTGAAATCAATGGGGCTGCCATGTGAGAGCAGCCATAGGCCTGCTGCAAGCAACCAGCGTGCACAGGATGTGAATTCCTGCAGGCACCCAAAAGACAAAGTTGTTTCATAACCCGTATCAGCAAGAAGTTGTAAAGCGGTTCCAAAAACCCTTTCTGTCTAGACAGGTTATATTTACGGCAGCATTTATGTGAAATAGAGGAATGCCCCAGAAAAACAGAATTGTTTTCAGTTTCTGCCTCTGGTGCTTGTTTGTCTAATGAGAGCACTGATGTGATGGCTGTGCCCGGTGCTGGGAGCTCAGCTTCACGTGGAGGGGCTGAAGGGGAGGAAAGGTGATGGGGTGTGGGTGAATCCATGTGTTGGGAATGAGGTGGTCCTGCAAATCCATCAGCACCGACCTGAAGCATCATCCTAACGGCAGTGATGCTGACGTGCTGCAGTTGTGCTTACAGATGTAGTGAGTACAACTTGTGCAGGGAGCTGCCAGCAGGAACGTGTTGGAAATGGTTAAAAGCTCAGCGCTGGGCTTCTGTAGCCCCTCAGCTGTAATTTATATTTGGGTTAAGGCTTGAAAGGGAAACATTCTGGCTTGAGCTTTCCAGCCTTTCCGCAGTGTTACCTTATGTTTGAACTGTGAAAGTTGTTTTTCAAAAGGGTGTTTGTTTCTGCTGTGCAGCTGAGAACACAGAAGTCCTATCAGGGCACCAGGAGCCCGACTTCTCCAGGAACAACAAATAAACCAACGCAAGCGTTTTTCAGTGCAAGTCCCCAAGTTCCTATTAACTTGTCTCACACATGAATTTAGCTGGGGGAAATCTCCATTCAAATCTGTGCCCGTCTCGCTTATTTTTTTTTTTCTTCTCCCTTTTATGTTTTCCTTTCCCTCAGTTCCTCTGCTTGAAGAACATCCGAACCTTCCTAAAAGTGTGTCACGACAAGTTTGGGTTAAGAAACAGCGATCTGTTCGACCCCTTCGACCTGTTTGATGTGCGGGACTTCGGCAAGGTAAGAGCACAGGGGATGCGAGGGCTCAGTGCTGCTGCAGCTCTGCAGGTTTGTGCCATGCTGTCGTGAATGTGGGAAGGCTTTGTGATTTTTTTTCTGAGCAAATTCTGTGCCTTAACCCATGCATCTGGCTTGTGGTAGCTTGAATATTTGGGGGCTGATTCTGCTGTGTATTAGTGAATTAGGGGAGCAAGCACTCGTGCTTTGTTCAGGTTGCAGAGCCTCTGGGATCAGCCTGTAAGTCCATGGGAGATGGCTTTTTTGGGGGGGATGTGCTTCAGGGTTTTCCCCAGGTGTGTGTGTGCAAATCATGCACTGTCCACCCCAGCTGCTGCTTCTACCAGGAGCACAACAGCCGTACCGAAATCACTGTCAGCTCTGCGATGGGGCGCGGGGAGTTTCTGAAGTGGTCAGAAAGTTTCACGCCAAGGCAAAATTAGCAGCAAAGTGAAAAATGCATGTGGAGGGTTCCCCCCCTCATTACCCCCACTGGGTGCTGGCTCTGTTGGTGCTTTGTCACCTAGACATGGGGGGGACTGAGCGCATCCTGGTGTTGTGCTGCAGCTGATGGGCAGCACTGAGTGCTGTAGGAGCCCCAGCTGTGAGGGAGGAACATCCTACATGGTTCTGATAAGAGCCTGTTGTTCTGCTCCCTTTGCTTCTGACATGTAAGGCATCAGGAGTGCACTGTTACTCTGATGGATTTGGAGCTCAGGGAAGCTATTACATGGGACAACTGCTATATTCTGCAGTGGAAAAGGTGTGAAAAGATTTATTAAAGCTCTTTCTCTATTGTTTTACCTCCCTGTCACTGCCAGGCATAAGCTGCTTGAAGGCATTTTCTCCTCCTCCGATTATCCGAAGCGTAGATTTTCACTGCTGATGGGGATGTATTATTTGATATTTATTGCCTAATTTATTTCTGGACCATTATCTGGAATGTGCAATCACAGGGGCTTGTTTTATGAGTTTTTTAATTTATGAAATACAAGGCAGCTCTTGTTGCTCTGGGAGTAGGAATGCACAGAGGGCACCTTTTGGGCTGGGGAAAGAAGCGCCGCTAATTAAAACGCTGCTTTATTGTCACGTTTCTCTCACTCTGTGCTGCTTCACGTCACCATAGGAGCCCACGAGCAGAGCCTGGTGGGATGTAACTCCTGGAACGTGTCAGCTGAGCACAGCTTTGTTTCCTTTGTGTCCTGGTTTAGCTTCTCCTGACTCCTCCTGTTTACTTTTCGGAGGTCATTGAGGATTTCGCAGCCTTTGGTCTGTAGCAGGGGAAGCAGATGATGTGCTGTTGGCTTTTAACCCGTAACAGTGCCGTTTTTGTTGGTTTTTAAGAGGCTTTGGAAGGGAAAAAAAACTTATCACAAACTTCAGAGGGACCCAAGCGTGCTCGGTGGCTGGGATCGTGCTCGCTTTAAAGCGCCCTATCTTCAAACAGCCTCACGTGGTTTGCGAGGCACAGGTTCTACGCACTGAAATCTCTTCCTGCTGTGGCTGTCATGAGTTCGGTGGGATGTCAGCTGCCCTGAGTCCCTCTCAGAATGTCCCCATTGTCTTTGCCACCTTTCATTCCCACTCGATCCTCAGATCTGCGTTCAACAGCGGCAAAGCAAATAAACAGGGAAAAATCTGCAGCTGACCGCAGCGCCTTTCCGCTTTGAGCCTCAGTCCTGTGAGCAGAAAGAGCCTTCAATTCACATTCCCACTGGCCAAGGCAGACTTCACACACAAAAAATCCTCCCCCAAGCCATTCATTACTTATACCAGTAGTGCGTTTTGGCCTGTGAGACGCTTTGGCTGTATTAGAGACTTTCAGAGCGGTGCGTAGGAATTAAGGACTGTTTAATTACATGGGGAGCAGTGCTGGGTGGTTCTGTTCTGAGGGCTTGAAAGCAGTTATTTCTCTCCTCCAGACCTGAAGGCTGGTTAGACAGCAGTCACCGACAGCACTCGGACTTGCTGAAGTGTGATTAGCAAACAGAATGTGGCAGTGGGGACTCTCATCCCTCTTTGGGCTTTAAGCTCAGGAAGTCGCTGCTTCCTTGCTGCCAGCAGGAGACCAGCTGGAGAAATGGGATCGCTGGCCATGTGGGCTGCTCCAGCCCAAATCCCCACGGGGCTGAAAAGATCCATCTCAGCCTTCGTGGGATGTTGGGTAATTGGCAAGCGCGGGCTTCTGTGGAATGGATGTGTCATGGTTCTTGTAATCGGGGCTGCAGTATTTCCCAGTTACCCCAGGGAGCTGAAGAGCCAATAGCTGCTCACAGCCAATATTTTCCTGATGTCCAGTTGTTTGGCAAGCCCTCTGTCGCAAGGGGAGGGCTGTGCTTCACAGCATAGGTTGCCAAAAGTGACCTGCAGTGCTGACTGCCCACATTTCCAGTTTGTAAATGCTTTAAAAGACCAAATTGTTTAAAAGAATACGTTGTTTTCTACAAGTTGTATCTCAGCTTTGCTTGGGTTTGAATCCTTTTTCCTTGCGAGGAGCTCAAAAACCATCGTCCACAATAGGATGTATGAAACTGTACGTATAAACTGCTCTATGGTTGCATTGATTGCAGGACGAGGTGGCACAGCTATGTCTGAAATGAGGGTCTGGCATTGCATGGGTGCTGTGCCCATTCCCTGCTAACACAGCCCGGCTCCTGGAAGAGAAATGAAATGAAATAAAGCCTCAGTGCTCGCGTACAGCGTGGTGCTGCGCTGCACTTCATGCACATTTAATAGCAGCAATGATATAAAACACAACTCTTATTGGACTTGCTAATTTATTGGCACCGACTACGATGAGATAAAATGTACATAAATATGGATTAAACTCTTTATCACTCTATTAGTCAGCATGATAGCAGCAAGGTTCATTAAATGGAGTTACTCATTTTCAATAACTTGCAGTAATGTACCTTTTTTTTTTTTTTTTGGAGAAATATAGTTCAAATATTCATAAACCCACAGAGTGTGCTGTTTATTAGCCTCCCACTCCTCTCTGCTTTCCTGATGTGTGTTTAATTGTCATCGCTTTTCTCCAGAAGTTCTTGGGCTGCTTGGAACGAAGCTGCGCCCCGCGTGCTGCGTACATACAACTGCCCCATGGGAAGGGGCAGCAGCACAGTGCTCCCCTTCTTGCACCCTTTCCACCATCTCAGCCACTCAGTGGCTGCTCTGTGGGGCTTGGGTGCGTGTCCAGAGAGGGATCCTATGGAGGCTGATCTGCTGATTGCTCTGTAAGTCGCAATATATGACGTGTGCAGTGGGTAGGAAGAGATGAGAGCAGCGCTCCCCAAAAGAAGGGTGTGTGCATTTCTTCTAAGCTCCCATGGGAGCAGCACTGTAACCAGCCTGCAAAGAGTACATGGAGATGTGCGTGCTGCTGCTTGTTTAACTGCATCAGCTTGGATGTTGGGATGGAAAATAAAGCTGGGAGAGGACGAGTCGGTTCTGTGGGTCTGCTTTGGGGTGGGTGGCGCTTTGCCCGTGGTCAGAGCGCACAGAGCTGAGCAGTGCAGGATGCAGGGGTTGTAGGCTGCTCCTTGGCTTACAGGCTGGCTCACAGCAGGTGCAGTGCGTCCCACAGATGTTTTTGACCCACGCACTAAAATCGTGCACAGGAAACCCTGACGCTGAACTTCCCTATAGCAAATAGGGGCGAATGAATTGCTGATCTCTGTGGCTAGCCAAGCGTGCACCAGGTGCTGCGTTCTGCTGCACAGACCTCCTGCCATGCTGGCCATTGGAGCTGTGGCTCCAACTGCTGTGAATTTCCCCCAGCTCTCTTATGGAAGCTGGAAGCCAAGCTGTGTTGTGCCCTGTGGTGTCTCCTGTCCCCAGCTGGCTGAGAGCAGAGGCTGTGCCCCCCCCCCACCCACTAGTGGCCCTCTAGCACTCAGCCCAGCACAAGCTTCTAGCTGCATGGTAACCAATTAGCACTGTTTTTTCCCTTTCCTCTCTCCCCTACTTGCAAATCTGCACTGTTTATAGATGCACAGCTTTTCGGTGGAACCGAAAGAGCCAGAAATGTTTGTTCTGGGAAGCTTTGCTTTCTCTCCTCCCCTCCCCCCCTCCTCCCCCCTTCTTGGCTGCTTTCCCCAGTATTTTTCCAAGGGGTCACATTAAGGGGTATTAAGTTTCAGATCAAACAAGCATGGCAGGATCTTTCGTAACTCCCATGGTCTGCATGGGAGCGCTGTTCTCAAAAAGCAGCTGGATGCTGTAATGTGTGAGGAATCCAAGGTATCGATCAGGACATGGATAAATGCATATTCCTAATGTGTAGGAAATTGATTTTCCTTTAGTTCCTTCACTTGGCTGAGTTCTCCTTGCAGTCATATTGGACAAGATTGGGGTGAAAATGATGTTTTTTACTTCGGAAAACCTTTGAGCAATAAGACATCCACGTCTCTGCCTCCACAAAGGGTTTTCCTATTGTTTGAAAAATGTCTGGTTGCATTTGACCCCTGCAAGATGTTTTTCCTTTATTATGTCATCGGGCATTTGTGACTTAATGACTTGGTGAAGATCATCATGACTGAGAGATGTCCCCAGGCAAAGTGAGTCCTTCTATACTCAGTGCTGTGCTGTGTTGGTGCATCTGGCATCACTTGTGCTCAGCTGTTCTGTGTGCATTTGCAAAAGGAAGGATATCCAGCCCGGGTCGTGTCATTGAAAGCAGTCCTGGGATAAAAGGAGGTTCTTATTCCATGATGATCCAGGGCTCTGCTGTTTCTTTATTAAAATCTTCCCTATGTTTCCTAAGCTCTTGGAGCTGCAGCATCTGATAGTGAGGTTGTCTCAAGGCCAAACGCTTCAGTTACACAGAATAATTAACATTTCTTGAAGCAGATTAACGTGTGGGTGTAACCCTGTGTAGGCAGAACGCGCCAGAAGCGAAACTCTCAGCCTGAAAGCACTGACACGACCAAATGCCACCAACCTGGGGCAGCTCTGCATCCTCCCCCTTTGAAACAGATTTGAGAGGAAAAAAAAAGGCTTCTGTA